GTTCTGTTATTTCTCCAGTCACTTGTGCTCCGTAATATGCTAAAATATACATTTACTCTCATCTTAGTAAATTTAAAGTTTTTAATTCTTTATTTTATACTATAAAATTTTTAGCGTTTGAGGTTAAAAGTTTAAAGATTTTAATTTTTACACTAATAGAATCCATTAATTCTTCGTTAAAATAAAAATAAGATACTTACAAGATTAATTCTTAAAAATTAAAAATATAATAATTTAGTTTTAAAAGTTTAAATTTTTTTTAAAAAAACTAGTAAACTAAAAAGAATTAATAGATAACTTTCTCATATACATTAGAATAGTATTCAATATTTATAATAAATTGAGTGATTAATTTAATTTAAAGAAAGAATTCTGACTTAAATTAAAGAAAGTTTTTTAGTTGTATTCTTTTAGTTTTTAAGTTTTTTGTCTTAACTTAATTAAGAAACTTTCTTTATTCTCAATCATAACTCTTTCTTCAAATTGAATTACTTGTTCAATTTATTATATATTTCTAATACTATTCAAGTGTATGTGAGAAAGTCATTTATTAATTTTTTTAGTTTACTAGTTTCTTTAATTTTTAAATTTTTTGAATTAAATTGTTATATTTTTAATCTTTAAAAATTAATCTTATAAATATTTTATTCTTACTTTAACGAGAGGTAATGGATTCCATTAGTTTAGAAGTTAAAATCTTCAAACCTCTAAATTTAAGGGTTAAAAATTTTATAATATAAAGTAAGGAACTAAAAGTTTCAAATTTAATAAAGTAATGGGTTAAATGCATATTTTAGCCTTTGGAATAAAGGGAGAGGCATTAGTTTGAAAAAATTAGGCCATTTTTAATCTAAAGCATGATCTTTGAGTGTTATGAAAATAATTGTATCCATCATAATAAATCACTTAACCATCATGGCAAAAAACAATTTGAAGGAGATTTTAGTGATAAATTAAAATTTCATAGATATTAATATGAAATTTTGATCTTTATATTATTAATATTTAAATGAATTTTATAATATTTTACTTAATTTTACATAATTTTGATTCTTTAAACAAAAAAAAAAAGAAATAAAAAAAATCATTACTTTTAGAACCAAACAACATAGATCAATCACCTGTTGATTTCTGGTTGTTCGTCTATGCATCTTGAGGATGAGCTTGTGGATCTTGATTTGATTGCACTAGCTATTTAGTAAGATTTGCCAAAAGATGTGTGAATTGTTGTAACATTGTTGTTGTGTGGGTTTGAGATACCCCTTCTCAATAAAAAAAAAAGAAAAAAAAAGGGAAAAATCATCTGAGGATAAAATGCACCAATACTGTCATTTTGTAACTAACTAAGATTGCTTAGGTTAAATGTTAATTTTCAGCCCTTAACTTTAGGGTTTTACATAATATTTGTCCTTCAACTTTTTTTTTTTGCACTTTTTGTCCCTCAACTATAAAAGTTCCTTTTTTTTTTTTTTTTTTTTTTTGAGTTTTTCCATTAGTTAGTGCCTGTTTAGTATATTAATTAAAATTCAATAGATAACGAAAAATGAGTAATGGGTAGCAGGTAATGAGTGACAGATAACGAATAATAGTAGTAGGTGCTAGGTAATGGTTAGCAATAATGGATGGTGTGTGGCAGTTAACGAGTAGCAGATTGTAAATAATAGATTTTAATTGATATAACCGTTTAATTATATAATAATTAGTAATTATTATTTATGTAAAATAACTGATAAAGGTATATTTAAAAATAATTAGGTGTATTTTTTCTTTTTATATATTTTATTATTAAAATTATTAATTTTATAAAAATAAAAAGAAGAAAATAAATAAATATAATATAATATAATAGTGTAATCACATATTCATTTCTATTTTTAACAAAGAAAAAATTATATTATTTTTAAATAATAAATTTTAATTATTTCTTTTAATTAGCAAATTTTTTTTACTAAACTAATATTTTTTATGATAAAT